GAAGTCGTGGGGAATTACTTAGTAATTGATTATAACTAGGTTTTATTTCAGTAAGAATCTTGACATTTGATTAATAACTAAAGAGTTCTTCGGATGGGAGGGCGGGGTGCTGCCTTCGCTTCCTTCGTACACTTCGAAAACCTGGTATCGGGAGCCGTCCAGCTGCTCGAGAGGAACAACACGGGATCTCGGCTGCGGGAGAATAGTCCCTGGGGTGGGTTGCCACGTAGCGAGCCTGAAATGAGAATGGGGTGCTTGGGGACCCGAAAGTCAACCGCAAGAGAGAGAATGTTGCTTGGGGACCCTGAGGTCAGCCGCAAGAGAAAGAGAATGTTTTGCTTTGGGACCCTGAAGTCAGCCAAAAGAGAGAGAGAATGTGTTGCTTGGGGACCCTGAAGTCAGCCACAAGAGAGAGAGAATGTGTTGCTTGGGGACCCTGAGGTCAGCCACAAGAGAGAGAGAGAGAATGTGTTGCTTGGGGACCCTGAAGTCAGCCACAAGAGAGAGAGAATGTGTTGCTTGGGGACCCTGAAGTCAGCCACAAGAGAGAGAGAGAGAGAGTTGCTTGGGGACCCTGAAGTCAGCCACAAGAGAGAGAGAGAGTTGCTTGGGGACCCTGAAGTCAGCCACAAGAGAGAGAATTCGGCCGGTGAACGTAAGGACGTGTGATCCTGAAATCAGACGTCTCCTAGGGATACCTTCGGACCGGCAAGCCGAGAAGGTTAAAAGGAGGAGGAAGTACTGCGGGAGCTAACTATTCTCGGTTGCTCGGCGAGATCTAGTGTGCCCGTCGCCTGTGTGGGATTTGCCGGTCTAAGTGTGACCATCTCTCTCGGTCTAGTGTGCCCCTACGCGCGCGATCGTTGGCGCGCGCGCGTTCTTAGTTTGAATTTTAAATTAAATGCTTCTTTCGTTTAATTTTTATTCTTTTTATTTATTCATGTCATGCTTTTTTTGTGCGCGCAGCGTCACACTTCCCCCCCGTTATGGATTCTAGTGGTGTTGAATTGTAATTCTAATTCGTCAAGCTCTAGTAAGACGGTTTGTTTTCTATTTTTACGATAACAACATCGTAGTTGATATCACTCGCCAGGTCGTTTCTCCATCCTTTATCAGCCATCGCTGCTGTCTTCCGGGTTTTTTCCCTGCGAGCTTCTCCTTGATGTTGTTTCTTGCTGTTCTGGACAGTATTGCTCGTCGTTGGGCTCCTCCTCATGTCTCTGTCCGGTGTCTCGGTTGCTCGGCTCTCCTGGGCGGTTTTGGCTGTTTGGCTGTTGCCTTGCCCGGACTGGATGTTCCTGGTTGGTGCCGTGGTCTTCATCTTCGCCGGTGCCGTCCTTTTTCGAGTGGTTCCCGCCATCGGTATCGGCTCTATAAACTTCGCCATAGTTTGCACTGCTCGTAACTTTGTGTGCTTGTCTCTTAATTTTTGTGCTGCCTCCGTGAATTTGTTCGTCTTTTCTGTAATGAGACAAATGTTTGTGTTAGGCTTAACGTTTAGTGTTGGTGTAGGGTGTAGTGTTGTATGGTGTATAAAGCAGTGTAGTATTGTGTTATGGTTATGGTGTAGTGTTGGTTTACGTTTGGGGTGTGGTGTAGTGTGATGACTAATGTTATGTGAGTTGTGTGGTGTGGAGTAGTGGCATTTGTGTAGTGTTTGGTTATGTGTAGTATTCAATGATAGATTGTGCTTTTCATGTGTTGCTAGTTTACAGTGTTCGTTCTGTATTGTATTTGTTCTTACGTACGGTTTGGTGTTTCCGATCTATACTCTGAATTCTTTGAAGATTTGCCGCCAATATAGATAATTGAGTTGCCAATGCAATATACCATTGAAAGGCCTTAAGAGAATCTAGACGAGCATTGGCTATATCCTCCATTTGATGAGTCATTATTTTAATCCTTTTATCGATAGAATCAATTATTGAAGTTTGATTCTTAACTAATTCTAAAATGTAATCTTTATTCGATTCCAACCTTAAGTGTCCCCGTGTAAAATGTCTTTACATCTTCGGGATACGGCTTAAAATCATAATAAGCTATGATTGTGCAGTCTGCAGTTGCTAGTCGAGTAGATCTAATTTTCTCGTAATAAATTCCTGGCCTCGAACCAAACCTGGTTATGTTAATTGGACCGGCGGTAGCTAATGGTAATAGCAGCAGCAAGATTAATAATGGCATCGATATCATTGGTAAGGATGGGCTTTTCCGTCTTTTTGGCTCTTGATCTTCCTTTGTTTCTTCTTCAGCATCTTCTTCATTAATTTCCTTGCGTTTTTCTTCTGGATCTTCTTGACGGAATAGTGGAGCAAGCTTATGAATTGCTCTTTTAAAGGCTCCTGTTGCAATTTTTACGTCTGCAACTCGCACATATCCATCTTGACCTGGATAAATTTTTATTATTCGTCCTATGGCCAGTGAAACATAGGCACCTTGTCTTCCTTGACAATAACCAACATGCCTTCTCTTACATTTTTATGGGTCTGTTACCATTTTGAGTGTTGTTGCTGGCTTGTTAAATATTCTTTGGACCATTGCGTCCAGCAAGTGTGCTTGAGTCGCTGCACCAGTTCCCATTGTTCAGGTAGTGATTTTATTCTAAGTGGTTCTGGGTCTGGCTGAGCGACTAGTGCTTCTCCAATCAATAAATGACCTGGTGTAAGGACTGTAAAGTCATTAAAATTTGAGTAAGTGGCCGAGAATTTAATACTGCCTCGACATTTGTTTTGACAGTGCTCAACTGCTTAAAGGTGAGGTTTGCAGTGGAAACATTTTTTAATAACAACGTCTTTGCTGACTTCACTGCAGCTTCCCATAATCCACCAAAGTGAGAGGATCTCGGTGGAATAAATTTAAAGTGAACACCCTTCGTATTGCACAGCTGGAGTATGGAGTTATTAGCCTGCTGTGAGTGGATTGTTTCCTTTAACTCATTCAATTGGTTGCTGGCGTCAACGAATTAAGAATTCTGAGTATTCAGAGTATTCTGCAAGGGTATATCAACTTCGGCTCCGCCCGAAGTTAGCTTTCCTTTCTTGTTATATTTTCTCCAACTCTTCTTGACTTATGCTGACATACTTCATTCAGTCTTTCATTCATTATTTCTTCTTTATTTATTTCTAGGATATCATATTCATAATTGCGTCAAGGATAAAAAAACTTACGTGCTCCCGATCATGACGAGCTTTCACTCTACAATCATCTCCACCTCGAAATATATGGCTTTCTTCAAATTTTAAGGATACCTCTAATATTCAGCATAGTTTATTAGGTTGTTGTATGTTGTAAGCTGTTTGGACTTGTATTGGAAAATAATATTTTATGACAAGAAGCATCTACATTTTATACGGAGCAATAAAATACAATATTTTAGGTGAACCTTTTCAAAATATAATTTTTTAAGACCGTTTTTATAGCCGCTATAGGATATAGTGACCCGATCGCCTTTAAGGAATAATAATCACACAAAATTATACTATTTGTGAGGCTTTGTTGTCCATTTATATGGCTTTTATGAGAATCGAGGACATCAGCGATTTCGATTTAATATGCCTTTATATGAGAATCGAGAAGGAGAGTTCTGAAAAATCTGAAAATAGTACTCAAGCATTATTTATATGCAATTACTCACTAAATAAATAAAATATTTATTTGGACAATATATGACAGCTAAGTAATATGTATGTATATTGGGGTTTGATCATAAAATTTTACACGATCGTTTCTATCACATATAGGATTTTGTGACCCGAATAAGTATAAAAATAGAATTTACGGCAAAAAAAAGCGATATATACCTTAAATTTAAAATAAATCAATTTCTTATGGCAGGTAGTTGTGTGATAGGCAATATTTTTCAACATGATCATATAGGCTCATGGTCAGTATTATAGATATATAGCTGATATAGGATACAGTCAACCGATTTTGATCAAAAGCCAAGGGATAGGTTCTAAGCAAAGCTCATTTAGGGCAAAAATCATCGTATCGTATCGATGATAAAAATGTCGATATATTTGATATATTTGATATTTTTTGTGTTAATCACTTTTTCACAGAGTTGGCACTTTGCTGTGCCGTTATTTATATGATTTTATTATTTTATTTTATGATTTTACACTTATTTGTTTATGTCGCGTCTGAATTCGTTCACTCGATGTATCTTTGGAATTCTGAGTGACCAAAGACAAAAATATCAAAAAAATATCGGAATTCCGATATTTGGGCAAACAAAAAATCATGATATACATATATAATTTTTAGAAAAAATATCGATATATTGATATTTTGATATATTATTAACAACCTTATTATTTACTTACAAATTCCTGACCAATTTATAAAACCAAATCTCGGTTACCAGCCCAGATGTAATTAACCATATATATCTTATAGAAATTGATGGGTATACGGTTGTAAGTAATAGTGTTATTTAACTGGATTTGGCTGTGCATTGATGTTAAAATTGTATGCAGGCAAATGAAAAGGTTTTTGCTTGTCGAGCTGATCAAATAACAAATTCTAAGCCATTTCGAAACATTTTGAAGCAACAAAAATTAATTTTAAAAAGTCAATTGAAAATAGTATTTTGAATATTTCTCGAAATGGTTTTGCTCAATCGAGCTAATCGATTGGTTAAACTGTTTATCGTTTGTTCGTCGATTTTCTTCAATTGGAACGGATTAGAGCCTTTTGCGCTACCAGACTAATTTTAGCTTCCGCTGGCCAAAATTTAGTTATTTTTAGGTTAGATAGACTCGTCTGTTGATGATGAACAAGAACTTAAATACTTGATTGGGCCGGAAATGTTGCAAATTGTTGACAGCATTATAACAACCTCTCCGAGGGTAATTTGTGCTGATCAGACATTTTTACAAAATATGGAAAGCAAATTATTTTAAGGCAGCACCTTTTATATTTCAGACAAAAAACATATTATTGCAAATTGATTATTTTGTCCATTATTAATGTATTATCTTCTTTTTTCTTTCGAATATAAGGGCGACGGAAATTGGAGCAATAGCAAGAACAGTGGAATAATTCCTAAATGTTTCGAACACATATTTGAGAGAATATCAATGGCAACAGATGTTAGATTTTTGGCATTTGTAAGCTATTTAGAAATATACAATGAAAATATTCGAGACCTGCTAAATACAAATGAAAGTACTAGCATGCTAAATCATTCTCTCAAAGAAATACCAGGCATTGGTGTCTCAGTACCAACGTTGACTACGCATTCCGTTATAAATGCAAAGCAATGTTACGACTGGTTAAACTTGGGAAACAAAAACCGCGTTACTGCAGCTACTTTAATGAATAAAAAAAGCTCCCGCTCCCACACTATATTTACTATCACTTTGGAACAATCTCCATTTTTCACTAGTATTGTAGCGGAGAATGACTTAGGAGGAATACGTCGAGGAAAATTAAGCTTAGTTGACCTAGCAGGTTCAGAAAGACAGCTTAAGACAGGCGCTCGAGGAGAACGGCTTAAAGAAGCGTCTAAAATTAATTTATCACTTTCTGCATTGGGAAACGTTATTTCTTCATTGGTTGACGGTAAATCAAAGCATGTACCATTTAGAGACTCAAAACTTACACGAATGCTTCAGGTAGTTGCATATGAAAAAAAAAAATTATTTTCCAATGAAGTATTTTTAATTTAGGATTCCCTTGGAGGAAATACAAAAACCCTTATGATATCTTGTATTTCGCCATCGAACACAAATTATGACGAAACTATATCTACACTCCGTTATGCAAGTAGAGCAAAGAAGATTTCTAATAAACCTAAAATAAATGAAGATCCAAAAGATGCGACGCTACGCCAGTACCAAAATGAAATATTACATTTAAAAAGAATGCTTGAAGAGACTCAACAAAAAAATCTGGTTGAAAAGGATGAAAAAATGAAATCAACCGAGTTACCCATGGTAAATATAGATATTCAAACCATCAAATCAAAAAAAAATATTGAAACAATTGAATCCGAAAAAGATGCAGGAATATCTCTAAAAACAATTAACTCAATATTAACAAAGCCAATGCTACCAGATGTAAAGTCGAATGAAGATGTACAACTGCAGGCACGAAGACGCATAGACTTTATTAAACGTATTTTAATTGGCGGTGAGCGTGTTGATGATTTGAAGCTTAAGGAACAGCACAAGGCCCGTAGATTTGCAGCACAACAACACTTAAGTGCTATAGCCTATGCCCTAAGCAGAGTCAAATATGAGGACCGCGACCTTTTGCAGGGACATTATGCTTCTATTGCACAAGAAATAAATATAAAAAATGATCATATTGCAAAGTGCAAAAACAAAATTAAAATGCTTGAAATGGAAGTTTCTGATTTAAATTCAGAGTTTCAGATGGATAGAGAGGATTATTTGGACGAAATTCGAAATCTTGGACGTAATATAAAGTTTTATCAACAATTGCTTTATAAATTTCAGCCAATTTTTCGAAATCATAGCAAAAACTGGTAAGAACTTACACTAGTTTGAAAAATTAAATCGACAACATCCGTTTATTTTCTCTGTTGTTGTCACTGTTAATTATTATACCCGTTACTCGTAGAGTAAAAGGGTATATTATATTCGTGCAAAAGTATGTAACAGCTAGAAGGAAGCGTTTCCGACCCTATAAAGTATATATATTCTTGATCAGGATCACTAGCCGAGTCGATCTAGCCATGTCCGTCTGTCCGTCTGTCCGTCTGTCTGTCCGTCTGTCTGTCTGTCTGTCTGTCTGTCTGTCCGTATGAACGCTGAGATCTCGGAAACTATAAAAGCTAGAAGATTGGCATTTTGCATGTAGATTTTAGAAGTTCCTACGCAGCGCAAGTTTGTTTCAAAATGGTGCCACGCCCCCTTTAACGCCCACAATCGCTTATATACGATTTTAAAAATTTAAATATTTCGGAAAAGTAAAAATGCAGTTTTATTGTGTTTATCAATACCTATCGAAATGTAGAAGAAATTTTTCAAATCGGACCATTCGTTAAAAAGTTATGCGTGATCAAAGTTTCTATCTCCATCTCCCTCGCACTCCCTTTACCTGAGTAACGGGTATCTGATAGTCGGGGCACCCGACTATAGCGTTCTCTCTTGTTATACCCTTGCAGAGGGTATTATAATTTTGGTCAAAAGTGTGCAACGCAGTGAAGGAGACATCTCCGACCCTATAAAGTATATATATTCTTGATCAGGATCACCTCCTGAGTTGATATAGCCATGTCCGTCTGTCCGTCTGTCCGTCTGTCCGTCTGTCCGTCTGTCCGTCTGTCTGTCCGTCTGTCTGTTTCTACGCGAACTAGTCTCTCAGTTTTAAAGCTATCGGATTGAAACTTTGCACACACCCTTCTTTCCTTTGCACGCAGTATATAAGTCGGAACGGCCGGGATCGGCCGACTATATCCTATAGCTGCCATATAACTGATTGATCGGAAATGCCATAACTCTGCTGTTTGTTAAGTTAGGAAGTTGGAATTTTATATGGGTTTTATATTTGGCCAATCAATCCGACCTACCAAATTTCATAAGGATCGGCCGACTATATCCTATAGCTGCCATATAACTGATTGATCGGAAATGCCATAACTTTGGTGTTTGTAAAGTTAGAAAGTTGGGATTTTCTATGGATTTTATTTTTGGCCAATCAATCCGACCTACCAAATTTCATAAGGATCGGCCGACTATATCCTATAGCTGCCATATAACTGATTGATCGGAAATGCCATAACTTTGGTGTTTGTAAAGTTAGGAAGTTGGGATTTTCTATGGATTTTATTTTTGGCCAATCAATCCGACCTACCAAATTTCATAAGGATCGGCCGACTATATCCTATAGCTGCCATATAACTGAACGATTGGAAATGCCATAACTTTGTTGTTGTTAAAGTTAGGAAGTTCGGATTTTTTATGAGTATTAAGAATGCATCATATGAATAATTTTGGAGAATATAATTTACAGAGTATTCTGCAAGGGTATATCAACTTCGGCTCCGCCCGAAGTTAGCTTTCCTTTCTTGTTTTTATATTCTGAATGTCAGAAATTCCATTTTTGCTTTGTAGTTACTGTGATTAGGAGCTTTATCAATGCAGCATATTTTGAATAAACGTCAATACATGATAGGAATTGATTGTTAACGATCATATAAAAATCAATAATGAATTTATCTCTTGGATTAAATGTTTCTGGGGTAACTTCAAATGAAAGCTAGCTTAGTATTTCTGTGCTCGGTCTAGGCAATGTTGCAAACCTCACACTTATTTATTTTGTTTTGAATTAATTTTTGCCAGTCAAGGTAATAATACTTTTCCTTGAAGAGTTGTATTTGTTTTTCGATTCCTGCGTGTAGAGGATCTTTATGGGATCGTTTTGTACGTCGGCCACGATAGTATTTGTTTCAATTGTTTTTGTCAAGTTATCTAGAATAATTATTTCTAGGTAAGCGGTTTGAAATATTAAAAAATCTGCTTCATTTTTATACCCTTGCAGAGGGTATTATAATTTCAGTCAAAAGTTTGCAACGCAGTGAAGGAGACATTTCCGACCCTATAAAGTATATATATTCTTGATCAGCATCACCAGGAGAGTCGATCTAGCCATGTCCGTCTGTCCGTCCGTCCGTCCGTCCGTTTCTACGCAAACTAGTCCCTCAGTTTTAAAGCTATCTGCTTGAAACTTTCCCAAAAGTTCTCTTTCTATTGCAGGAAGTATATAAGTCGGAACGAGCTGGATCGGGCGACTATATCATATAGCTGCCATATAACTGAACGATCGGAAAAGCCATAACTTTGGTGTTTTTAAAGTTAGGAAGTTGGGATTTTCTATGAGTTTTATTTTTGGCTAATCAATCCGACCTACCAAATTTCATAAGGATCGGACGACTATATCATATAGCTGCCATATAACTGAACGATCGGAAAAGCCATAACTTTGGTGTTTTTATACCCGTTACTCGTAGAGTAAAAGGGTATATTGTATTCGTGCAAAAGTATGTAACAGGTAGAAAGAAGCGTTTCCGACCCTATAAAGTATATATATTCTTGTTCAGGATCACTAGCCTAGTCGATCTAGCCATGTCCGTCTGTCCGTCTGTCCGTCTCTCCGTCTGTCCGTCTCTCCGTCTGTCTGTCCGTATGAACGCTGAGATCTCGGAAACTATAAAAGCTAGAAGATTGGCATTTTGCATGTAGATTTTCGGAGTTCCTACGCAGCGCAAGTTTGTTTTTAAAATGGTGCCACGCCCCCTTTTGACGCCCACAGGCCACAAGCTGTGGCCACAGTTTTGATGCTATTATGAAAATTTTAATTGATATGTATTTGTTTCGTCAATACCTATCGATTGGCCTAATAAAAGTTTGCCACGCCCACTCTAACGCCCAAAAACCCATTAAACGCTTAAGCCTGGCTAGCGCCTACATTTCCGTCTTTCGTGGCGCCATCTAACGGATGACTTTGGAACAGCTGGCCAAGGTGCTCAACAGAGTCAACGTTAATTCTCGATAAGGATTTCTATTAAAGGAAATTGCGATGGTTTCCATTTGTCAATACCGAACTATATCCCAAGAACTATTTAAATCAAATCAAGTTAGCCAAATTGGAGGTCTGAGTCAAGCAATGGCGTATGTGTGTATGTATGTAAGCATATACATATGTATGTATGTATTTACATTGCACACAGTTGCAATTGCCCGGCAAAGATAACTCCTTTTAAAGAAAGCTATTCGCTATTACCGTTACTCGTGTTGTGCAAACATTTAGACTTTAATATACATAATACTATTTAATACTTAATCTTATATTAAGTTGTTTAGCCGAGTAACGGGTATCTTGAAATAAGTTTATTCTGTTTGGTTCCAATTTGTGTTTTTTATTTAGTAGGAGCAGCAAAGGTGCCGCTCCAACGATCAAAATGTCTCTGTTCTTTTACAATATTCTTTAAGTCTAATTAAGGCTAAGTCCCGTAGCTGCGCTGCTCGCAGGCGGCGGCAGAGAGACGGCTATGTACCTATATATTATATGTATTAAATTATGCTCTCTTAAGCTGGAGCGCGAGGGTATATGCATGCTCTTGAGTTCGGCCGGCGCGTGTAACAGAATGCTGACACTTGCACTTTCTGTGAGCGCGCCGATCGACTCGTGTTCGGCCACTTGTGTTTTTTGACCGGGCCTTTATGAATGCACTGCAACAAAGTGTTACAGTGTGTTTACAGTAGATATTCAATATATGCGCATACTACATCTCCCTCCTTTTGAAAAATAACGTAATATATTATGAAGTTATTTTATTGGTATATTTTACTTAAAGGAATAATAATAATTTTTTTTTTTATAAAAATTTTTTTTAAAATTTTTTTTTTTTAATTTTTTTTTTTGATATAAAGAGAATGGTATTTATAATAGTATTCTTATTTAAGAAAGAAGTATTTCTATGCATGGCCATGCTAAATGCAATTATGAAATAAACGTTTTTAATCTATCCTTATGAACTTTTTGTTTTTTGTTTTTGTTATTCATTATTATAATGTTATTTCTTTCTCCTATTTCCGTTACTTTATACGGACCTGTATATTTAGGATCTAACTTATGACCTGTCTCGTTTTTTAATAAAACTTGGTCACCTACTGATATATCTATATCCCTTACTTTATGATCGTATATTAGTTTATTTCTATTCTTATTTGCTTCTAACATAACTCTAGCTCTTTTATAGGCTACTTCTAATCTATACTTACTCTCCTTAGCATAGTCATCTATATTATATAGTGCTTCTACACTGTCTATGCTATTAAAATGTTTCGGTAAATTACTTGTTTTACCGAATACTAGCTCATATGGACAATAAGTATGTGCCATAGAGGGGGTCGTGTTGAAACAAAAGACAAAATATTGAAGCCATACGTCCCAATCAGTTTTATCCACCGATATGTAAGATCTTATGTACTCATTGAAAGTTCTATGACTTCTTTCTATTGTTCCAACTGTCTGGTGGTGTTGTGCTGTGGATGTAATATTTTCAATATTTAAATATTTGCACAAATCGTCTATAATTTTAGACATACTTTTCCAGTAATAGTGTCTTTTTACTTTGGCCAAAGTTTTTGATATGCCAGTATAACCTCCTTGAATTGGATCATCATGAAATGTAGACAAAATTGCTTCTTTTTCTTTTAAATTTGTTATTTGGGTCACCGGGTTGAGTAGCGCTACTCTTAATGTTTTCAAGATTTTATTGCCCATTAATTTGAAATTATCTATTGAAGTATGTTCAAAGATATTTTCCCACGGTGCCACTTTGAGTTGGCTGATTTTATGTATACCGGCTTGCATTTCAAGCCTTTGGAAAAATTGATCTAAGTCAATAACTCCATTAGTATATAAAACGCTAACATCATATCTTGCAGTAATTTTTCTGCCTTGTTTAAATAAACATATCGTATTTTTTATCTGCAAGGTCACTACTTTACGTACTTC